TACCTTAATTCATTATGTTTGTCGTTATTAAATTTGAATTGCTTTTCGATATTGTATTTTCATTTGTTGTTGTTTACTAATTCCCATAAGTTTTCGTATCGTTATACTGTTCAATGGATGTTTTAAAGTATATTACATCATGCTATTATTTGAGTGTGAAAAGCTAAATCGTTTAAAGTTAGGTTATTTATCCGTAAAAAGTAACAAAAAAAACTATTATAGCAAGACTATTATAGAAGTTAAAGAGTTTTCTTAATCCTAATGAACTGTAGCTATGTAGTTAAATGTTGAATTCACCAAAGTAAAAATGCATTTTTTTAAGTAATTTCATTAATCTCAGTTTTAACATGGACAAAAGGAGTAGACACTCCTTTCTACTCCTGTCTACTCCTATCTATGGTTTTACTTCAATCGTATATTTTCTATACTTGAGTAAAGCAACAATTAATTGATAAAATAAATCATCTCGTTTGGGCCGCATAGGGATTCCCGTAAGGTATGATAAAAAAACGCACATGTCCTTAAAACAGTAATAATAATATACTTATGTATGAATTATAATCTTATATAATGAGGTATCGTGGCAAAAGAAATTAAAATACCATAACTGCTATCTCCCTTGTAATAATTAACTTGATTGTGTGCAATCTAATGCTGAACACTTTAATTTGCAATCTTGACCATCATTATTAAATAACCATGATACCAAATAACACATTCACCCAGAATATACTACTTTAGCTCTGCACAGAGCGTAATGCACAATACAAGTAGTTGTAAATTCTAGCCGTAACCCGTGTCCAGTTATGACCACAATCATGGCTGTTTTCACCATAAATCATTAAAGTTGCGCCAACGACGCGGCAGGTCACCGAGCTTTATGGCCAACTTGGGGATTAATGATGCTTTCAATGAATGTTAACCTGTGAATATTAACTTTAGTGATGATAATATACCTAGGCCAAGTATGATCATTATAAAATAATATTATTATATACTTATACAGGGTGGGGCAGGGAAGTATCCCTAATTTTGAAGGTAAATTAAAAGAGAACCAAAAATGTTAGAACCAAACTTTTTATTGAGATTAAAAGGTTACATCTGGGAGTTTATTTTAATATAACTTTACTTGGTTTTAAACAGCATATCCTGCAAGTGGTGTCCCTAATCTTAAATGCATTGCTGTATTCTGGTTCTGGAGTTCATAATAACTTTGAATAATAACTTTGAGAAGAGAGCCATACGAACAATGGCAAAGTTCGGTTGGCGAGATAGCTGCAGAACGACTTTCAGGGATTGGGGAATACTCACTGTTGTAGCCATATACATCTTAGAAGCTGTGGACTCCGCATGCTCCAGAAGCCTCAAAAGAAATGGCCATCTTGACTCCTACAACACCAGACATGCTGGAGATTTCAACCTGCCCTTTCATCACAGGAAGTTTTTCGAGATGAAACCTTCCTACGCCGGAGCCAGATTCTACAATATTCTACCAGAAGAACTGAAGTCTGTGTGTCCCAACCAAGTAAAATCTCACCTGAAGCAGTGGCTTTCCCAACGCTCCTTCTATTCTGTTAAAGAATTCATGAACTGGAGAGAACCTATTATCTGAAGTACACTCACTACACAATCTCACCTATTATAACAATAATATTACTCTGACGCCTGTCAAATCTTAACGATTTTGATTAAAAGTTATTCTCTCTCTCTCTCTCTCTCTCTCTGTCTCTCTCTCTCTCTTTGTGAAGCATTTTTGTGGAAGGTGGCAAAATTCAAGGTGAATTGCATCCTTCAAGACATCTAGGGTCTTCCCTTGAATTACCCTAGGCTTAGCATCACTCCAATAGAGCACATTCTGCTTATTTACCCGCTCCAGAAATATGGAAGTGTGCCTCGTCACTAAACAAAACCCGAGCAGCATGAGGTAGTCCCGCAATTAAGATTTCACAAGCCTGCATTCGTTCTTGCCAGTCCCGTTGTGTGAGTTCATGAGCAACTACCCTCTTGTATAGGTGGAGGTGTAGGTCCTCACGGAGAATACGAGGAACAGTACGATTAGACAAAGCCAGCGCGGATGCATGCTTACAAGCAGAACTTTGAGGAGACTGCAAAATCGATCTTCTGGCAAGGTCAATGTTTTCAGGACTCCGGACGGTTCTTTGAGCTCCAAATACCCTTCGAAATACACCACCACATACACGAAAGTGCTTTGCGACAGGCAACCCGATAACCCGACAGCCAATGGTAGCTGCACAGAAACAATAGACAGATTTTTGAACAAAAATACATCTCGAGTGCAAAAGCACATTGCTCACTCGAACAAGCCATATCTACTACAGATAGTGATATTTTTAGAAATTCCCAAAACAAAAGCTTCATTTGAGCCTGACCCCATTCCTCCAGCACACCCCCACTACTTACAGTGCCATCTTAAAAGTAGGGATATTTCCCTGCCCCACCCTGTACAATAACGTTATCTTCACGAATTTTTATCTTGTATTAATTGTCTGGTGACATTAGCCATTTTTATGTAAGTTTCGATCACCTTATTTCCAATTATTACTCAAATATACTGAAATAGAATCGTCAGTTTGAAAAATGCAGTTACTGTGCATAAGATGTATATATTAAACGTATATATTAATTATTCTTTACCCAATTAGTTACAATATATTATTTACCCAATTAGTTACAATATATTCTAACAATAAAACTATAACCAGTGCAATAAATTCATTGTGAAAGCCCTTTAGTTTTGTAAAAGCGATTTAGTAACCATGGTCCTACTTTAACCCTCCCTTTACTAGTGTTTTAATAAAAAAGTGATGGAAATGGGGGGTTTGTCAGTATCCACCTCAAAGATATTTCGTATGAATGTATTACAAATGTGTTTTGAGAAAATGGTTCGAACCACTCATATGCTAGTAGAATTCGCGATACATTGAACCCGTGACTCTAATACCGTAGACCAAGACGTTAACCAATGAGCTATCGAATCACAAATAGCTACATTTGTTCAGTAACCTTATTTTATTAAAAATAGATGCCATCCACTCCATTTTTATCTATATTATATACATAGAGAATATATTTTAGTTCCCACCACAAAATAACAATTCTTCACAAACGGCGATGGCGGAAGAACAAACTGTTGTCGTTATGGGGACTGGTGACATTGTCAATGTCGTTCACTTGATGTACGGCATTAATATCACACGGCATTACTGTCGATAACTCCACCTTTGTTCTCATTACAATGCCGCATGTCGACCTCGACGTCACTTTTCATATTTTATAACCCGTATTGACATAAAAGGCATTAATTTTAGGTCCGATAATGAATTGGTTTGTTTTCAAGCTAACCGGGTGAATTGGTTCAACATTTAGTTGGTTGTATGACTTGAAAACATTTTGTTATAGTCGTAGTAAACCATACAAACTTATTTTTGTAATAAATTTTCTAAAATATTTTTTTTAATTCAAAAGGCTCCGCAGTGTAGATATAGCAGTCCTAGGCTTAAAATATAACTAAATAGTGGTTGGGTAGTAAAAAAGTAAGAAGGGATAGTTAAAGTATATAATTTCGTATTCTTCATGGTATAACTAAGGGTTGAGAATTTGATGAGGGGTGAATCTTATAAACCTCAAGAAAATGCACTCAAGAAATAAATTGCAAATTTTGTAAGTGTACAGGTTTGCTGCAACGAGGATATCTTAAGGAGTTTTTTTCCTGTAGAGGGAGGGATCATAATTTTATTTATTTGGTGAAACGAACAAACATTTATCGTTTTCCATTGGATGTTTGGTATCATTTAACCTACAAATTGGCCGTTCCCTTATATAATGACTGGGACGGTGGCGTCATCCTGTAATCCAACTACTAGGAGGTCACGAATTGTGGATATTTTTAGGCATGCACTGTGGACGCGATGCTACTTAGTCTATGCTGGTGTGGATTAACTTCCGCACTAGTGAGTACTACGACTATCCGCAATACTATTCCGAGACCAATTCGTTAATACCAAGGCAAAATGTGGTTTGGATTCCAATATAAACTGTAGGTCCCTTAGTTGCCATTAGCTGTACGGTATATTAATTAACAGTTGAGTCTAAGGAATATGTTGGCCTTAGTCACTAAGACTACAAGATCGCGCCATTCATCCTACACTCATCTCCATTCATACTTGGCTATGAAATACCAGGCATACCTACTTTGTGTGGTCGCCATTTCAATGAAAAGTATTAAAGTTAAGTATTAAAGTACAAAAACGTAAAATCTCTGTTGTAAATAAATACAATATACTAACCAAAATAAGTGCCATGATATTATCACTTCTTCATTGTTTCGGCGGCGTCAAGTCGACTGCCGGGCCTCCATAGTTTTACAAAGCCTAATAGTTGCACAGTACGGCTTCCTTTGCGCCCTGGCTAGGATTATCGGGGAATTTAATCCCTCTACAAACAACCCTCGTCTTTGGTCACCCCCGTACACACACATAGATCCACACACGAGAATCTACGCTTAACTACAAGCGCGAGGTAAAGATGCCAATGATAATCCGATACGTAAATATAATATTTTACTGGGTCAAAATCCATTTGATGTACTGGAATGTACCGGAAATATCTCTGATTAAGACAAGGAACCATGACGTAGCTTCTAATGTTTTGGTCCTAACCCTACATGTGCATTTTACCACCTAAAATAACACAGACACGGTTTTATAAGTGGAACCACCGCAAAATGTAGTACATTTTTCAGCCGTCCACGCGTTCAAAATCTATTCTTCATCTCGTGAAGCCAATTGCGCAGTAGCTACGTTTGGCGATATGTTATATGCTTTCTAACTTAATTATAATGGAACTTCACTTAACTAATCTTTCAACAGGGACTTCGGTAGCATTGGTCTTTTTTATATAGTTACATTGATGTGTAAATGTCATGCAAATGTATATTTTTCAATTTTTCAAGATTTATAAAATATGTTTTTTTTTTTCAGAATGGTGGTGCTGGGACCGACAGTGGCGGACGCACGAATGGGTGAGTTCTATTTTTTAAATATATTGTTAACATTATCAATACACTTACTACCTAATTATACAAAGCACAAAGTGTGGTGCTGCGATAAATATTAACTTAAAAGCAAGGTTAACTTCTAAGTGGATTGCAGCACTAGTGCTAAAATGTATGAAACAGGTTCTCTCTGTATAAAGAAGTTGCAATGATTTTATTCGAAACATCAACGTACAAATTAAACTTGAGGAGAATACTTAATAAAACTGAAAATGTAAATTGTAAACTAAACTTGAGGTGTTCAACAAAAAGTAATTTGCACATGGAATACAACGCACCGATTGATATTCATTTACTTATCAACGTCATTTATATTTACAGAAATATAAATAAACATATTTACTCAACATAAAACTATTTTGAAAAAAATACAACAAAATAAGTATCAAATTAGGACTAGTTCACAGCCTAGTTTATTAGGTCTTACAAAATTGTATAGAATAGTTTATAATCAATGGTTTTACTCCTTAAAATTCGTATTTCAATTTTTATAATTATCTTACCAATATACATATGGAATATTAAGTATAAACGACTTGCTAGTTTTAGGAACTCTCTATCTCCAATATGAAACACCAGTTAATGTATTTACGCCATCCATTATGAGAAACTTGCACAGAACTGTTTAAATTGCAAACCTTCTAAGACAGAACCCATATATTGGCTTAATTGACGTGAAACTTTTGATTAATAACACGGGTTGTAATAAAGTTTCCTTCTAATTAGAGTTTAAATTCGGTTCTTTGAGCATCCAATGAAACGTTTTAGTTAATTGATGAAATTGTGTCGAATTGGTATTGTTATTGGTTTATTGTGTATACAAATGTAATAGGTCTAATTATATTGTGGTCATTCTTTACCCCGCTTTGTCAATTCTACGTGCCTTTAACAATATTAATTTGTAAAACTAAATAGAAAGAATCATTTCTAGTTTCATATTTTAGAAAACAATCTTAGCTATTGTGATTGAGTAAAGAAGAAACATTTTATTAATTATTAAGTGTATAAGTATCAAATTTGACAAATAATATATTCATATTATGGATCTAAGATTCATCGCCATCATTATGGAGTAGTTTGCATAATGCATTAGATCAATATGCAAGATTCCGGGTACAATTTGCATAAGAATGCAGAAAATAAACGAAGCTAGGGGACAGCTTGTAGACAAAAGCTGTGCATCTTAATTAAGCTATGCGGGTACTTGGTTTTAAGTCCATGTTGAGCACTACTTGGATCGTTTACCGCAAGTTTTATAAACAATGCTAATGTTTATGTTGCTCGTGATAGTTGAGTGTGGTGCTTAGTTTTGCTCATAACTACGTCGTTTCATTTACCACTTGTTGAACCGACAACAATGTACCTTAAACCAACCCAAAAAAATCTTGTAATCTTGGGCCAGTGCCGAGCAAAAAATAGATTTTCAAAGATTTTATATTGTTTGTTTAAAAGATTGTCAGAGATTATTGCAGTTATTATCCTCTAATGAAGTTTCATGGTTTCATGAAGTTTTAGGGTATAAATACCTACTTTCTTGGTTTCTCCTGTTACGTTTTAGGTGGTACTGTACTTTCTAACCTGAGCACTAAATTACGCCTTGAATACTACTTATTGTATTTTATGGGAAAAGTCAACAAGTGAAATAAATACAACTTGCTGAAGTCGTTTCTTTTTCAAATGTTACTGTTTGGTGTAAGGCCAACATTGACAAATCATAATTTGATCTTGAAATTTAGTTCAAACGTGTAAACCAACTTTTGTAAACCAGCATGATTAAGCGAGAGAAACAGGGTCAAATTGGGTTTTCCCATTCATGATTAAACTATAACATTTTTAAATTTTTCCAATTTGCTTAAAAACAAATAATTTAGTTTATTAAATCGTTGTTGTACGCTTAATGGTTACGAAAAAGTCGTTTGAAACCGGAAATTAAAAAATTGAATTCTTATTCGGAGAATATGTTAACTTAACTGTTGTATTTGCTTTGTTTATATTTTGATCTAATTTGGAAAGTTTTTCTATTTTTAGTCTAAGCTGAACTTTGCTGAAAAATACACTTAACTACCTGACCTGTAGCAGCAACCCTTAATACTCACTAAACCAATGCTATTTTGATAAAGAATAAATCTGACACTTTTAAGGAAATTTTTGGAGCAAATAACATCAGACAAATGTAAATTCTCTTAGTATGCAGGTTTTCTTCGACGGGTAATTTTCTCTTTAGTTGTTGGTTATTTCAATTTGTAAACAGTTTTTAACATTTTAAACATTAGGCGTTTTCAAAAATATTGAAAATAATTGTTTACTGTTTACTCCCCATATGAGATTACATAATCTGTTATTATGTGGTTTCTTTATTTCACTTTACTTTGAAAACACTTGCTAAAGCCACAAAACCAAATGATTATTGTTGTAACGCAGTATGGACGTCAAAATGATTTTAGCATGAGAAAAATAAATATGTTTTTGTGTTCATTATAAAACAGTAAGAATTTTGTTTCACTGGCCATGCAGCTTGTTAAAGTAGTCAATTTTTTGTTTCCTGCTAAATAATTGTAAAGACATTTAAGATTGATGGTGGAAATAAAACAATTATTCATATATTCAAATATAAAATATTAGATCAGTAATAAATATAAAGACGAATGCACAAATTGGTACAGTACATATTGAAATAAGTGTGATTTTCTCATATGTATCTCATTACAACATTTAGGTACAAAACTGGTGACACTCCATGAAGTAAGATTGCAATTAGCTTTAATCACAGACAAAAATGTAATAAACATTTAGCATGGAACCACTCATATTTTTGATGCTGGTTAAATTTAAGCTAAAGCGCGTATGCTTAGGTGTTGTTCTATTGCATCCACTCAAGTCCTGGCTTGGCAAGCTGAGTTCACTGTAATAATTAGGAATTGATTAAGTGGCCAAACGTGGTTTTGAGTTGTTGGCTTAGAATCTTTTTGTGAAGCGGGTTCCATAGGACGATGGAAATCGATTATAACAGTTCCGTAAGTAAACCAAACCACTGATGAACATGGCGGTAAAGATCAAACACCGATCAGGCAAAGAGGAAAGATTTTCTTCGTGATCACATCACAGTAACGGTTGTTACTTCTCACTCCCAGTGCCTGAGGAAACACCGTTGAGCTTTATTGAGATGATCATCGTGGCCATTCCGTTATTGAATTTAAACTACCAATCTATATTCTTGCTATTACAATTGATTTTATGATCATTTATTGTAGGAAGATAAGATTTTTGTAGGATTAGAGTTTGGTATAGTCTTAAGTATTTTTCTCAAATCTTCTTTAACCATTTTCAACCATTGATACAGTTGTTTGTCACACAACTGGTGTTTTTATTTATGTATTGTTATATGATTCTTTTTTAGTTGGCTCTCCCTCGTAACTTATTAACTTATAAGTTAACTGATATTATTATTTCCATTGTTTTTAATTGTTATTTCTTGTAAAACTATACGTGATTGTTATTTATTTATAGATTTTTTTCAGTAACAATAATTATTGTATTGCTCTTATAACAAACTCTTATTTTCAAATATGTCTTTGTTGCTTAAAACCGTAATATATTCCCAGATATATACAAATACCATGTTTTTTGTCCTATGTTGTTGTAAAAAGATATAACAGTTATGGCAAATAAATAACATTGGTTACAAACGATACTTCTGCCCTAGTTGCTTACGTTCGTATCGGGCCACTGGCTTCTTGCTATGTGGCTCCGCCGTACAATATTTCGGAACCCACTTAGAAAAAAGCTAGGCCTCTCAAAAATATCAAATATTTCTATTTCTGGTAGAACACGTCCTAAAATATCATATATTTTATATCCTATTCCTTCCCAATTAATTCTTCTATCAGCGCCATAGCTTTACTAACCAAAAATATTTGTTTACTTAACCTAGTTTATTTCAACCCCGTTTGCATCTGGCTTTAACCTCAATATGACTTCAGTAGCTCTAACAAGGTATTGGAGCAAAATAAAGGATCCACGATGAAAAGGTGGAGGCAAATAAAAACTCAGCGCGATATGAGAAAAGTTTTGTAAAGCTTTCTGTATTAAATGGCGTATATAACTAACATTGCTCGCTAGTGGATTTTAAAGGTAATTTAGAAACGTCAATCTAGTTAAAGCCCCATTTCAAAATCTTCTCACTTACATTATAAGAACTTAGATTTAAATAAATAATTAAGAAAAAATATTTTTGTAATGTATTTATTTGAAACAGTCGTGTTAATAGCCACATAACCAGACTATAATAAAATGTTGTTGTATAGATAGTATAGTAGTAGTATAGTAGTATAATATAGTATAGTAGTGTATAGTAGTATAATATAGTATAGTAGTGTATAGTAGTAGATCTAATAATATAAGTGAACCAAACCATCGACAGATTAGTTTGAACCAAATTAATAGCCTATTGTTTGATCATGAAGGCTCGATTATCATTTATTAATATCTTATAGAGAATATCCGATGAAAAAAGCGAAATTTAGAAAATGAAATACTTACTGCCACATTATGAACTCTACATGCATAACTATATCACCAGTTATAGTTTACTTTATGATGGATTTATTGAGTAAACACGTTTTATTGCATGGATTGTACCGCAATCTTGTGCATATTTTACAATGATATATTCTTTACAAAGGGAAGTTCAGAGGTTATAGTTTCATACCATTCTTCAGTTTAATATTTATTGAAGAATCTATTCTATATTAACTCCCTACCATTTTAACAAATAAGTTTGCATGTCAAGATAAATTTCCAACGCGTGTTAAAACAACTGTTCGAAACAAAATACCCTCGCCGCAGCAAACCTGCTGACTAAACGAATTTCTATTTGTCTGAATTGATTTTAAATGAAATCTATTTATATAACATTAGGTTTAACAAGTGTAACGCACTAGACCCTTAACCTAACCTAACCAGGTTCG